CCTTCTTTGCTTCTCTTTGCATCTTCTGGTATCCTTATATGTATTCTCATCTATGTTGATGACATCCTTGTCATTGGCAACAACCTTACGGCTATACAAACCCTCATCAACAAATTAAACTCTTCTTTCTCTCTCAAAAATCTGGGAGATTGATTTCTTTATAGGAATCCAAGTTCAGAAACTGCCAGATGGGAAGCCTACATCTTTCTCAAGCCAAACATGTCAGAGATTTATTGCATCAAGTTGGAATGCTAGATTCAAAAGGAGTCATGACTCCTATGATCAGTACTTGCAAGCTTACTCATGAAGGGAGTGAATCTCTACCTGATCCTTCTTTCTATAGATCTGTAGTAGGTACTCTAGTATGTTACTCTAACAAGACCTGAAATTAGCTATGCAGTTAATAAAGTCTGTCAATTCATGGTTGCACTACTGCAATATCACTGGAAAGCAGTTAAGCATATATTGCGCTCTCTCTGGCACCACTACACATGGACTCCTTATCAAACCTATTCTTTTATATACTATGCCTCTACCCATTTCAGCATTCTGTGATGCTGATTGGGCCTCAGATCCTACTGACAAGAAAGTCCACATTAGGGTCTTTGATAGGAACCCATTAGTATAATAATACTAATAATAATAGAAGTATATTAAATAATTGTGATAGTGTATTAAAGGGTCCTGGGCCAGGTATTAGTTAGTTTTGGGCTGGCCCATAAGTAAGTATAAATAGAAGGGAGGGAGAAGAAGAAAATAGTCAGAATTTGGAATTGGGATTAGGACTGGGAGAGACAAGGCACTCTCGGACTTGCCTCAACTGTATTGTTACTTTCCCATTTCTTCAATTTCAGTTTCATATTCAACGATTCAACCTCAGATTTCTGTGTACCTATCAATGGTATAAGAGCATTCGCTTCCTGGAGGCAGGGAATCGGAATCATCTATCATCTCATAACAACAACAGTCTGGAACGATGGAGGAAGTATATATGACGCCTCGAATGGAAAAGAGTTTTGACAATATAAAACGAATTATGGAGGAGATGAAAGCATCAATGGAGAAAACGGCAAACATGCTGACAAATATAACGGCAAAAATGGCGGAAAACATAACAGCGATGAGCGAACAGTTTCGATCCAGAGGAAGATTACAATCACAGCATTCGCGATTATCGCATTGTTTGGTTTCTAACAGTTCGCAGATGCGAACTAAGTCTTCCTGATCATCGCGAAGTGCGCAGGTTCAGTCACGAACTTCCTCTCTCAGTTCGAAATTGAAGGTGTCTTCACCAGTCGCTCCTAATCGTTCCAGTTCTCCGTCGCAACTTGTTCCTCATAGATCCTCGTCGCAAGCCGGCTACCTCGTCAGTTCGCAGAAATCTTCGCAGTCGCGAACTTCCTCTCTCAGTTCGCAATCGCGAACTTTATCATCATCAGCCAGAAGTTCACGACCAAGTCTGACGGGATCGAGAGGAGAAGTTTTCTGTTTGAAGACGTCATCTCAAACGGCTTCAGTTTCATCGCGAAGAGTAGTTTCCAGTTCTCAGATGTCGTCTCAGTCGCTGACATCATTTCATATGTCCCAGAGTTCAACGCTATCATATAATTCCAGTTCGCAGGGGTCTTTGCTAGCTGCTTCTCACAGCTTGTCATCCTTGGTTGCTTCGAATCTGCCTGAGCGGGAGAAAAATGGAATTCATTCGAGAAAAGTGAAAGAGCAATTGTCAAAGCAATTGGAGGATCAGGCCAGATAAAAAAGAGAGTATTCAAGCACTTGAGTGGAAATCCGATATTAGTGTGATGAATGTTAGGCTTGATGTTTTTGTATCTATAACAGAGGCCAATCCCATAATGGATCAGTCACAACTCTTTCTAGTAAGGACAGGAACTGGTGCATTATCACCTACAACTGTGTCGCTGAAACCGGAGCAGGTTGTTTCTGGAGTTCCTAATGGTGAAGGTTCTAAGGAGTTGATTTCCAGTATGCCACTATTAGAATTGCATACTGATAAAGAGAAGAAAGCAGTAGTCGCTACCGGTTATGAAACCATTGCATCTCTCATGGCTGTTGAACCTATTCAACAACTCTTAGCTATTGGGATCACAGAGGGTAGGCTGAAGGTCGTTGGAGGGAACAATATTGAAAGCCTTATGGTCTGGGAGCTGGAGAACAAACACTGGGGTTCTGGACTTGGTTTTGCTAGTTAACGCCATCACTGGGGTTTCAGCCTATATGGGAAAGGAAAGGAGAAAAATTCGCGGATTTGGGACTTTGGCGGTTAGAGAATCTGAAATCGCATGACAGCACTGTTGTGCACAACTGTTGTCAGCTGTTGAAGTTTTATGAGACCAATCCAGCTATTACAGGTAATTTTGTCATTGATACTAGCTGCCGTACAGAAAAATGGATGAAAAATGGAGAACTTTGCATAGGGCTTGTTGCAGACAATGAATTGAGTAACTTGAGTAACATCAAATCTGCATCCAGCACATTGATAGTTTCAGAAGTTATAATCCCTGAGGAGTTTCATGAGAACAGTGAAACACTTGTAGCTAGTGAGTGCTTGAAAGCTACTGCACCAAATAAAACTGCACTCGACGTATCTTCTGCAGCAGCACCATTTGTGATTTTGAAGGAACAAGTACTGAAGCTTCTGGTTCAGCAAGCAAGGAGGTATTGGGAAGGACGAGGCGCAAGGATGAAGATAAAGCTGAAAGTCCAGGCCGGTTCCTATCACCCACCTTGAGGACAAGGTGGTTGTCTAAGGGGGGAGATATGATAGGAACTCATTAGTATAATAATACTAATAATAATAGAAGTATATTAAATAATTGTGATAGTGTATTAAATAATTGTGATAGTGTATTAGATAATTTCTGTGTACCTATCAATCTTGCACCTTTCTTGGTCCAAATATCATTTCCAGATCTGGAAACAATTGTGTGTTGCCAGATCCTCAGCAGAAGCTGAGTACAGGAGCCTGGCTGATATTGCAGCTGAACTCCTATGGGTTCAGTTCCTACTTCATGAACTCAAGGTTCCCTTTACCACTCCAAAAATATATTGTGACAATCAAAGTACAGTTCAGCTGAAATATACTGTGACAATCAAAAATATACTCCAACCCTGTTCTACACTCTCGCATTAAACATATGGAGATTGATCTATTTTTTGTCAGAGAGAAAGTTCAACTGAAACAAGTAAACAACTACAAGTGTTCCACATTCCTGCTCAACATCAATTGGCTGATATTCTAACAAAACCTTTGTATTCTAACAAAACCTTTGTCTGCTTCATCCTTCATTGATCTAAGGACCAAACTTAGTGTGATTGCACCTCCAGCAAAATCACCCTAAGTTTGAGGGGGGAATGTTAGATACAGTGTTGTCAATCCTAGATAGCAGAGCGGAGCGGCCAGCCTTGAAAACGCTATAGCGGTATAGCGGATAGTGGGATGACCGCTATTCATACTACTTTTAACTTTTAAGTATAATACATAATTAACTAGAAACATATAATTACATTACATACAGATTAGTAAAGTATGATATATGCCATTTAAAGTTGCAAACATCTTAACATTCTTAAATCCTAAATTACTGGGAAATATTCCTTAGTTTCATGAGCAAAACATACGATGCTATTAATGATTAAAACATCCAAGTCAAAACATTGAATCAAAAACAAGTTCCTGGTTTAAGCCTTGATAAATTAATAGTGTATAGTCTACCACCGGAAAGAAACAAAGAGGAGTGTAGCATGTGTCATTCTTGTACAAGATGAAGGAGCACAGGTCGTTCTTGAAACAGATGGGGCAGAATAATTTGTTGAAGCAGAGGTCATCGCAAAACAGAGAGAAGAGAAGACATACGGATTTATTAAAACATGGAGCCGTTTTTAAGGGTTCTAGACTTCTGCGTATGTGTACAAGGGCTTTAAGTTGGTTCTTATTTAGTTTTAAAAGTCTACTTTACCCCTGTCCTTCCGTAGTCAAAAAATAAACGTAGAAAAACCCTTGCAGACCTTCGATCGCAAGAAGCGGCGTTATACGGTTCGACTCTACCTGTATAGCGCCCCCTACTATAGCGCCTGCGAAGTCCACTACACCTAAACGCTCCGCTACAGGAGGTCTAGTAGCGCCAGACCTCTCCTCCACTCCACTCTACCGCTATAGCAGAACTAATAGCGCGTGATTGACATCACTGGTTAGATATACTATATGGATTACATTAGTATGAGTTAGTTGTATTCTAGTTAGTTAGTTGGTTTTCAGTTGAGCTGTAACTTTCTATAAATACTCTTTGTACTCTTAATTTCAGTTTAATGAGAATAATCTTTCTTCCTCATTCATTCCATCTCAAATTCTATTACAGAATAGCTAGGTTCTATTTTATTAACTTTACTGTTAAATAATTACAGCTTACTATTTGAAATATAAATTATTACTCGACTGCATTCCTCATAGTATCTACCTCTAGTGTGAAATACGGAGTACATCATACATGTTTGCTACATAGAGAGATATAGCTCCACACTCAAGAACTTACTTGCATTGTGAATCAATACAGTAAGAACATAGAGCAGATGCAGGTGCCACCATAAGATATAGCAGACTAGCATTACTCGGTAGAGCCTTAAAAATAGTTTTAAAGCCATCTTAAATGGACATATACAATTGTGAGCTAATTTATCTAGACAAACACATTAAGGTCACCAATCCTCAATGTGCGAAATGTAGGAGGTCATTTGAAGATTGGTAAAATGTTTCATTCCACCAAACAGCTTATAAGATCAGATGCAAAACGTTTCTAAGAATTATGAGTTCCAGAAGCTGAAATTCATCCACAGAGAATACAGTGCATTACTGCATAGACACTACAGTATTCGAGTTGAATATATAACACTGCACAAAAGTGGTTTGGAATGCACTGATATGATAGAGAAGTAGACAACTTGAGAGGTTGAGCTCAATCTATTGAAATTTATCCAAAATTCACCTGAGGCATTTGCCAAGCATTTGGCATGTCAAGCCTGGAGGCAGCAAAAATCTGCAAAATTAACAGAAGAACCTCGTGAACAATATGAGATCAAAACTTTAAAAGGCATAAATGCAGCAAACAGAATATCAATAAAAACACGCATTAAATAATCGCCTTTTTGACAGAAGGGCTCATGAGACAAATGCCAACGTTTCTACGGTAACCCTCAGGCGGACTGTCCATGGAAGAAAAAGACGATACTGTAGAGAACGAAGGTAATGAGCGCTTATGGCGATGTGAAACCGCTGCAAATTTGAAGAAATTCGGAAGGGAAGGAGACGCAGAATTGACGATTATCCGCGGGAGATGGCAGGGAGCGGGTTTATGAAAAAGAATGGGCATTTAGCCATAAAAAGTGTTTGGTGTAATCTGCAGTGGATAAACCATAAATAAATAGGAAACTTGTAAACTAGGTCTCCAACTTTCATAAAAAAGTCAATTAAGTCCTTCTATAGGAGATTCTGTCCGGTCGTCACGATTTGGGGCGGTTCCCGATGGAATTTTTTGATGAAATTTTTTGAGCATCTTATTCATCAAGTCTAGTTTACTCATACCAAATTTCAGCTAAAAAATTAATCGGAAGCGCATTCAAATTAATTCGAGAACGCAAAAATGCGCAGTTATCTTCAAGAATTAATTTGAATGTGTTCCCGATTGAATTTTTAGCTGAAATTTGGTATGAGTAAACTAGATTTGGTTAATAAGATGCTCAAAAAATTTCATCAAAAAATTCCATCGGGAACTGCCCCAAATCGCGATGGGCGGACAGAACCTCCTATAGAAGGACTTAATTGACCTTTTTATAAAAGTTCGAGGACCTATTTGACAGTTTTCCCTAAATAAATCGAAAATGTTTAGTGTAAGTTGGATATCCTCTCCCCACCTTTCTCCCCCACGTGCGAATCCTTCTTCCCAAAACACCAACCTCCCCACTTCCTTCTCTCTCCACCTCTCTCCTCTACGTTCTAACATTTCCCAAACCTCCGGCCTCACCACTTTCTTCTTCCTCGCCGGTTCTCTGCGCATATCTCCCCCACTGCTTTCCTCTTCTTCGCCTCTTCACGCCCATCCCCTGAAGCCTTCTCTTCTCACACACACCGTGCTCGTCGCGAAGCATCTCCGTGAGTGCAAAAGCCGGCGTCCACCCTCAAGAACCCACCAGTGAAATGGTTCGTACGTCATGACATCTTTGACTGAGGCTTGAAAGAGAAGGTAATATCAACTTCTTGAACACATTTGTGAATTGTGAATAGTATTGTTCAATTTGACCCCTTAATGTGTGGTTTGTGTTTTTACTTAAATTTTTTTATTTTGAAATCATTATGGTATTTCGAAGTTTACGCTTGAAAATATGAGTTTGATGAAGTGAGAAGCACACTGTAATGGCCGGATTGTATAATTTTGAATTTGTCTGTGGGATCGAGGGATAATGTCTGTGGCCAAACGGTTTAGGTTATACAATTTATTATGATGGAAGTCATTTTCTGTATTTACATTTGACTTGATTTGTTCGTAGTTTGTGATGTGTTGTTTGTCTTCCTTGATAATAACTATTTTTTTTAATCAATAAGGTATTTTTGAAGTATACACTTAAAGTATTGAATTTGATGAACCTATAAGGGGTTTGGGTTCTTGAGTGGCGATTATTTTGGATTTTGAACATGTCTGGGAGATTGAAATGGGCATGTACACAGCTGGTTTGGGTGTAGATTTGAATCTGATGTAAGTCATTAGTGTGTAAAAGACTTCATTTGTGTTATTCGTAGGATGAAGCATCAACTAGTGGTTCCTGTTAAGTCCCATTTCACGACCCAGTGTTCTCAGTGCACATATTTTGGGAAATTGGGAAACTTGTTGGACTCCATGCCCATCGGTCAACGGGAGGTGTTCAAGAAGCTTCCATGGGGTCATTTTGTTGACACTCCAGAATTGCAATTTTTTGGCCAGATTGTTCATATGTTGTTGTTGCGGCTGGTTCGGCAACAACCCGTGGATGAGCTTTGGTTTTCCATAAGAGGGGAGATCTTTAAGTTCACTTTTAAAGATTTTTGTGAAATAACCAACCTGCCGGTGTACACCACCAGATCCACTTTTGTTAAAAAAATGAGAAAGGTAGTGTGGCAGATATATTCTTTAAAGGAAACAAGTGTGTGACGTACCAAGAGTTGAAGGAAACAATGGAGGCGGTGAATCCAAAGACGATGATTGACCCGTTAGCTTTTGTCAAGAAGGCTTCCCTTTTCGTGGTTGACGGTGTGTTGCTGACTAAAGACCACAGCACAAAGACCTTGAGAACTTCCTAAAATATCCTTAGGCACTCGAGTCTTATAACCTTATGGTTAGCAATATGAAGTCGTTGATGTGTGGTCAACCGGGGAAGTTTGAAGCTTCGTTAGTTAAGAATCTTGGCCACAAGAACGCCAAGTTCACGGTTTGGTCTTTACCCCACGTGTTGCAGGTTGGTTTTAACTTGGTTTGTCTCTTTCGCAAATGTCTGTGGCCTGACATTTGATTAACTATTTTTTTGGTTGTTTATACAGGTTTGGGGGTATGAGAAAATACCTGGACTCTCGGAAAAATGCGGTGAAAAAGTGAAATCTGAACAAGCTAGCATTTTGAATTGGAAAGTTGTTGGGTTTTTCCACTATTCTTCTTTGAAGGAACTAGTATTCACCGATGAGCCTTTAGAAGAAACGGTAAGATATTGTTACTTTTCTTTTTTAATAATATGCATGAAGTAATATTACAAGTTCGAGTCTAATTAATTGACATGGATTGCAGGATGATGAGAAGGTTGGTGAAGAAGAAGATCAAGAAGATGAAAATGAAGAAGAAGGTGATAGTCAAGTAGAAGATGAGGATGTAAAACTTTTTCGCAAATTGAAGGTGTTGGAAGAATTTTCAAAAAAAAAGGATGAAATTGAAGGGTTAATGAGAAGTGTTAGAGGCATTGAGGCCACACTTGGTGAGGTCAAAGACATGTTATCTAAGGAGATGGGGTTGGTTCTGCATGCCAAACAGGAGGTGTCCACTGAAGAGAAGGTATGATTTGAAAATGTTTGTGCAGGTCATAACATTTGTCTGTGAACCTACATGTTATTGTCTGTCTACTTAGATGTAATTGTCTGTGAAGTAATTGAGTTTGAATGTGAAACAGGAAGTGCCCGTTGTCAGCAAGGATAGTGTGAAGCATGATTCCAAGCACTATAATGTGAAGCCTGATTCTGTTCAAGATAATCAGTGTACTTAGCATGACATGCCGGAAGTGGACATCGAAGAGAAGGTATGATTGCCAAATGACTTTGAACTTCATATATATGTCTGTAAATGTCTGTGTACTTAGTTCATAATGTTTGTGAACCTAATCCTAATTTGACATCTTCGTGGTTTACAGGCTCAGAAAGAGGATGAAGTCCAAAGTGGAGAGCCTGATTTGAAGCATTATTCCATTGAAGACATGCAGGGAAGCCAGCATGGCACTCCGAACGTGGTAAGTCAAGAGAGGGTATGATTGTGAAATCTAACCTTACATGTAATTGACATTTTGTAATTGTCTGTGAAATTATTAACATTTTGTCTGTAAAGCATGAGTCTCATGAAGATGATCAGGGAACTGAGCCACGAATGGCGCTTGTGGCCACGTCGGAAAAGGTACGCTTTGCAATTGTGTGTACTTACATGTATTATTATTGAGAAGGAGCAGGATGTTGAAGATGTTGAGGCCAGTGCTCAGTCATTGCCTAAATCAACCCTCATAAGCTATATTTTGGAAGAAGTTAGTGCGCAATTTTTTCATTTAGTAATTGTTTTGAGCACTCATTAATGTTTCCTAATATTACGTATTTTGTAGTTGAAGGATGTGGATCTGGTCTTAGATGATCGTGAGTCACCTATGCCTAGGGTTAAGTTATCTTCACATAACAGTGCGTTTGTTTACAAAGTTGTTTACTATTTCGTGCAGATGTGTAAACATTTTATTTATTTATTTATTGTTTTTGTAGGATGATGCATTCCTGGATAAAGAAGTGATTGCCCCAACACATTTTCAAAATGTGGATTGGGAGGATCTTGATGTAGATGATGTTGAAATAAGCAAACTCCAACCTGCCAGAGAGGAAATGAAGAAAATTAAAGAAAGAGGTTTGTGTTCAAGTATCATAGGAGTCCTTTTATGGATCCATGTGATAAGCGGGTAAAGCGGAGTCAACATGGAAGCAGGACAAAAGTTGAGGAAGAAGAAAAATTGTTGAATGAGCTCAAGACTTGAGTGGAAGCCCCTGCCAGTGATGAACCAGTTTGTGTGACGTTAGACATTCGAGGTTGTATTAGTGTTGACAAAAAGTTCTTCCGTAACCTGATAGACCAACAGGAATGGCTAAGAAGTGTGGTAAGTGTAGACTTACATTCCCAACAAAAACAATATTACTAAGTGCATGTTTCCACAGACATTACTCAGAAATGCATGTGTCCACAAACAATTGTATCATTTAATTTAACCACTTTCTTGCAGCACATTGATGCCCTGACCAACATGTTGAAGAGTCAGAGAATTGAGGGTCAACAATCTGAATTGGTGTCCCTGTATTTCACGGTAAAGTCTAAAATCCACTTCGTATGGCGTTTATGCTTCTCCCATTACTATTAGACAAATATGTGTTTTGCTTAAATGTAGAATCAATTGATGAGGAAAAAATTGACAAACGAGGAGAATGGAGTGGAGATAGGTTGTTGAAACGCATTGACTGGCGTGGGTTGTTGAAGGTATGTCCCATTACATATATTTTGTTTTCCACAGACAATTGTATTGTTATTGCATGGCTACACAAACAATTATATTCATTCACAGGTTTTCATTCCATTGAATGTTGAGGATAAACATTGGATCTTGTGTGAGGTAAATTTGGAGGAGGTTGTGGTTAAAGTTTATGATCCCTTTAAGACTTCCCGAAGTGCGTGGTATGCATTTCCATTGTGCATGAGGCTTCCTTATCTACTCCAAGAAATTCAACATGGACTACCACGTCCCTAACACCTAAGACCATAGGAGACTGTGGCTGTTGATGGGGTTCCGCAACAAGCAAACGGGTAAAAATTATTTGTTTGAAAATTTAATGATTATGGTGTTTGATGAACATGTATTCGTATAGGTTTTTATCGATGTATTCTCACATTTGTGCAGGTCTGGAGTATGCGGTGTTATGATTATGGCGTTTGTTGAACATTTGATGCACAGCCTCCCCTTAACACCCGAGTATGAGTACAACAACACCCCCACAATACGAACCAACTTTGCATTACGCCTATATCGTTTGAGGAAGAATGCATAGAACAATGAAGAAAGAATGAGGGTTGTTCATATATATATATATATATATATATATATATATATATATATATATATATATATATATGTGTCGGGTGTTAAACCAAAGTACTTATTTTGGTCCATGTAATGGATGGGAAGAAACACTTAAACCAAAGTACTTATTTTTGTTGTTACATTTTTCCCATTATATGCCCCGAAGTAATTATATATATGCCTATGTTTTTTATGTAATCCTTAAACCAAACATATGTATATCAATTTCTGGTTTTGCAATATATGATGGTAGTAAAATGGATGTGAATAGATGCAAAATCCAAATCCTTCTTGCATTGTAAAATTGCAAACAAAATGCAAAACCATGTAAAATTGTGAATACCGTATGGCTAAGTATGGGACAATATGTCATACATTGTCATGATACAAAAAAATGTGTCATTACATGTGTTGTCATTGCCTAAAACAAAGAAAGATTCAAGCTTAAGTCGTCATTATACATCCATTGTAAATCGGTTGGTGCAACATTTGTTTGTACTACGTCTTCAGCATTGCTTGATCCGGTGACTTCCACTGATGTTTTCCCAGCTTGCTTTTTTGGTCGACCCTGTTATACATTGCAATAGTAGTTCATATTTGTGTACAGAAAAGATGGAGTTCCAGTGGGCAAATGTCTGTGGCCAGACAAATTTGACCGGTCTCACATGCATTTCACACTTGGGTCAAGCTGCAGTTCCAATGGGTAAATGTCTGTGGCCAGACCATTTTGTTCGGTCTCACAAGCATTTCACAGTTGGGTCAAGCTGCAGTTCTAGTGGGTTAATGCTTGTGGCCAGACAAATTTGTCCGGTCTCACAGGCATTTCACAAATGGGTCAAGCTGGAGTTCCAGTGGATTAATGTATGTGGCCAGACAAATTTGTCCGGTCTCACATGCATTTCAAACTTGGGTCAACATGGAGTTCCAGTGGGTAAATGTCTGTGGCCAGACAAATTTGTACGATCTCACATGCATTTCACACTTGGGTCAAGATGGAGTTCCAGGGGGAAAATTGGTGTACCTTTGTTTTTTTGTTCCCCTTTTCAATAGGCCCTTTTATCTTGTTCTTTCTAGGTGCACCTTTACGTTTTTTCTTGTTTGGATCTTGAATAGGGACACTTGTTTGTACGTTCACGCCTACGACTTGGATTGGAGCGATGTCCGTTAATTGAGTCATAACTCCACAAATTGAAGAACGAGTATTTGACATGTTGCATGTTTTCAATTTAATTTCAAGCCATGTCAAGATGCGTGCAAAATGTTTGTCATCATCAGCCACACAATTCGCAAGTCTTTCAAAGGTGGTGCATAACCTGTCAAACCGTTGTTGTTCTTTAGTCCTAATCCAACTGTCATAGTTATTTTTAACTCTTGTGTATCCCTTTTTGACATCTCTCCTCCACCTTTGCATGATATAACAATCTGGTAAGACGTTAACTCCGCTACGCAATAGGACTGTGATGATGTGATTACTAACAAATCCTCAAAACTTAAAAAAGTGGCACGTGCACACGACTTTTGGGACTGAACTATCATACTCAACCACAACATGGGCAGTTTTGTAAAAAACATTAACCTTTTTATCTTCACGGATATTGTTATGTATACCATCCTCACTCCCTAACATGTCACAATACAACTTCCCGGTCATTTCACTTTGAAACTCCTTGACCTTTGCAAGTGTGTACATTTGTTGCAATTGATGTTCCATGGCATATATAGTCACACAAGGTATCATTTTGGTGAAAGGCTTGACATCCGCTTAGAACTCTTTCTCTACTTTGCTTTTCAAAGCACGCCGATATTGGTCAACAAAATCCTTTAGACTTGTTTTTGAATGAACAAAGTCGTCAAAAAACGTTAATGCTTTCACTGTGTTGGGTCGTTGACATCCTTGCCCAAAAAGTAGGTCTCAAGTAGCATGGCACCCACCGATGTCATTCATTGTAAAGCACATGTTGCCATTCATGGTCATTCAGATGAAACATGCACATTACAAACCATGAATATTACGATAGTTGTGGTATTGAACACAACTTGTAAAAAAATAAATGCTTACCTTTGCAACAGTGAACTCAAATTTTGCACCTGATTGGGAGTCGTAAACAGCATCATGTAAACAAGAACTAACTTCATCTTTATCAGTCAACTCTCCCATCTTCTCAGGCACCTTTTTCATTATATGCCATAGAAACCACCAATGTCTTGTATTTGGGAACACTAATTGAATGGCGTTTTGCATTGCCCTATCTTGATCGGTAATAATTCCACTGGAAGGACAACCACCCATACACTCAAGCCACTTTGTAAACAACCACACAAATGTGGTGGTGTCCTCACTTGAAACTAAGCCACAGCCGAACAACATCGATTGGTCATGGTGGTTTACTCCAACAAAAGGTGCAAAAGGCATGTCGTACTTATTGGTGAGATAAGTTGTATCAAAAGTTATCACATCTCCAAAATCATTGTATGCATATCGGCACCCCTTGTCAACCCAAAATACATTGCGAAGGTGAGATTCTTCATCTACGTCAGGGGCAAAGAAAAAACCGGGGCATTCCGCTTGCATTTTGCAAAAGAAACTTTGAATTGCAATGACATCACCATTTCTTAAACGCAAACGGTGAACCTTGTCAACGTAGTTCCTACGATTCTTTTCAATGAACGATAATTTATCATAATCGCCCATTTCTACTATGGCGGAGGTGTAGGTTTTGTAAAGAGGTATTCCGCCAACATTATTTATTTCAAATTTTCTCCTCATATTCATAGTCAATATCCTATTACAACGAAAAGCTTTAGTTTTGGTAGGACTCATGGGGTGGTTATGCTCTTCATGCACTTTCGAAATTACCCATGACCCGACATAGTCATACATGTCTTTAATTCGGGTTTTGCAACCTATTGCACTAGTAGGTCCAGTCAATACATAATTTATGGACTTTGCAACTCTATTTCCAGCACGACCACATTCGATTAACATTCCTATTATGTTTCCTTGTTTGTCTTTCGTTGAGCTCATAATTCTAATGGGAAAACCTATACGTTTTGCGTGATTCTTATAGTGATCATATGCATCATCTTTTTCCGGAAACAACATCCCAACTTCTACATGGATGTCTGGTGCACCACCATCTACATTTGTGTTATCCGGATCTGAGTGAAGCCATATATAACAAGTAATGTGAACTATTGTAAACGTCTGTGGACAGACAATAGCAACACAAACATTTACTACGTCATGT